TTGTATGGCTGATTGTGCTCAGGCTGATTCTTCGTTTTGTTACGTGGTATGATACCCTCCGCCATTTTCACCTTGTTGTATAAAATATGAAGAGCTCCTAGGTTTTGGCTACGTTGAATACCCAGGTGAGCTGCGAACTAATAGATCACACATGTCTGTTCTTTTAGACTAGATGGCTACATTGCTTGACAGTGCTTGCCCTCATAAATGACGATGTTGTCTCCGTTCGCATGACCTTGCGCCGTTTCCCGAAACCTTACAACTTTGCTTCAGCATTTGCGGAGTAGTCGTCGTTCGAGACGGGTTGGACTCGGGTCATGGAAGAAGAGCCGTCCATGTCGTCAGTTCCATTGCCGCCTGATGCGGTGTCGCGATCTTCATTCTGGTCTTGACAGCGGTGCTTCAAAACTCTTACAAACCAGGGTGGACGACCAACTCCCTTCCATGTCCAATACTCTTTGAGATCATACTCACGTGGTTCGATGCGCCCACCGCTTACATAGACAACAATTCCGACAAGCCCGTTTAGTATGGTGTACACAAATATACCTCTGGATCGATGGGTCAGTTGGGTATCGATTGCGATGGGGACACAGACTTACGCAATGAGACCGTATGCAACGCTGTAGGTGAACGGTATGAGGGCCATGACTACAAAAGAAGGCAGTACATCACCAATATAGTACCAGTTGACCTGTGTAATCTGACGAATCATCATACAGCCGACCTGTCCCTCATCATTAGTCACAAGCTCAGCTTGCACACGACACGACGTTTGGACTTACCATGATCAATGTACAGCCAGTTGCCCATGGAGGCAGTGAGGCGAAAATAGGGGCGAAGAAGATGGAGACCAAGAAACACAACCCCGAAACGATGGCGGTGATTCCCGTTCGACCCCCCTCAGCAATGCCGGCTCCGCTTTCAATGAATGCCGTGACAGGAGAGGACCCAAACAAGGCACCGATGGAGATGAAAAAAGCATCAGTGCAGTATGCCAGGGTAGAACGACGAAAATCGCCGTCCTTGAGATCGTCGATGCCACAGAAACGAACCATGGAATACAACGTGGCTGTGGCGTCGATGATATCGACATAGAGAAACGTGAAGAGGGCGAGGGCGAATTGCGAACCACCGCGGCTGAAGGTCCAGTCGAGTTTATTGAGGGTCTTGTCCATAGGGTGCCAGGCAACGATCTGCTTGAAGAAGTCGAAGCGTAAGTTGCCGACCTCGTTGTCCGGGAAGTAGGTCACGGTTGTATTACGACTAATTTCCAGCCAAGTCAACTTTTGATGGCTACGTCCATGAGGGCGTATACGTGAGTAAGAGAACTTACGGCCAGGATATGACGGACACGAGAGCGATGCCGATGACGAGGGAGTATTTGATGCGGTATGCCATCAGGAAGGCCGTGACGATACCGCCGCAAAAGATGCCGAGCCACATCTACGGTTGCCCCCCTTTGGTTAGTTTGTCACAAAAAGAACAAAAAGAGAGAGAGAGAGAGAGAGTTATTGGTGTGAGACTTCGAACCTTGGGACTGGTCATTTGACCGGATGCACACATTCCTTTTTCATTGAGAAGTTCAGAGGGGCATCCTCCCAGGGCAAGTGGCGTCGCTGGGCCACCACCGGTGATGGCTCCGATGCCGACCGAGTAGGACAATCCAATTTCTGTCAGGAAAAATCCAATGCCGACACCAGTAGCGACCTTCAACGTGGAGGGGATTAGCTTAACCAGCCACTGTCTCATGCCGCTCAGTGCCAGCACTACGAAGATGATGCCTTCGATGAAGACGGCTGTGAGGGCGGTCTGATATGGGATCTTTCCGCCTCCATTTACACCAACAACCTGGCCAGAGAGTTTTGCTTGTATTAGCTCCTGAGATATGCATGACATGCTTCAAGGGCGATATGGGTGAACGAGATACCTGGAAAGCAAAGTAGGCGTTGAGTCCCATGCCCGGCCTATATCGGCGTATCAGCTGGAGTATTTGAAGTTGTACCGTGTACGAAGTCACTTACGCAAGGGCAACAGGGAGATTGGTTAGAATACCAAATACCAGGGACGATAGCCCGGCAATGGCGGCCGTGGCAGTGATCAGTTCTCGTCGAACATCTAGGCTCCATCAGTCAGGATGGTCTGGTGACTGAGGTACTGGTAACACTTTCACCAACCCTCTTTGCAGGCTTTGAATTCTGGGATGCCATCACACGTCTGCTTGTCCTCGAGATCACAAACACAAGGCCCACCAGTTGAAGAGAGTATAGATGCCTAAGAAATCGTTAAGACTCTGGCTTCCAGACAAAGGCCATAGGAGTACATGACGGACATTGACGGAAATAATGTACGCCATTGTCGCAAAGGTCGTCAACCCAGCTCGAATTTCCCGGCAGAAGCTTGCACTGTCTATCTTGTCTGGCTAGATGAGTACCAGATTAGCAAAGACGCAGGTTTCTTTCTGGGGGGTTGACACACATTAACGCTGTCCCCGAGGCGAAAGTAGCTCCCAACACGAGAGTTGGCTACCCAGAGGTCAACGGAGCGGAAGAATTTACGTAATTCCATGATGATAGATGGCCTATCTTGTGAAAAGGGGCTTGGTACGATGGCAGACGGCAGTTGTTTTCCGTCATGTGTTGTAAGTGGCATTGCAAATGGTGGATCTGACAATGGTGCATTTACAAGACTTGAGGGGAAGAAGGGGGGAAAGAGGAAGGCGAGAGACGAAAGCAAGTTTCTAAATGTATCAAGATGAATTGAGCGAAATGTGAATTAAGGGCACGTGGACAACTCCAGCAGATCCGGCACTGCGAGACAGCTGGCAGCTGGCAGCTGGCGACTTGGGAGCCGGATGAACGACTTGACATCCCAGTGCTGGGTGGGCTTCTTGAGCTGGGCAGATGGGGCGTCACAGATATCTGGGCTTCAGAGCAGATGATATGAATGGCTAAGGCTCGCCTACGCTGCGGACAGATGCAACTACCTAGGTAGGTTCCATCATGTTCATCAACTTACAACATCGGACCCTGTTTGAGTCCGGCCCAGTGATCCACGAACTCTTACTGTACGCCTACGTGAGAAGAGAGCCTCCAAGGGGAATGGCACGAAACGCCGCGCTCATCCAGAATGAAGTTTATTGCATGCAGGGTAAACTAGATTTCTATGCTCGTTACTAATGAAGCGTGGCTTGATCTGTGCTCCGTTTCTCAAAATGCTGTGAATGCCGAGATGTATCCCGACCAAATGGCCCTGCCTTGCCAGGATCGAGGATCGGACGAAACAACGAGCAAGCATACTTTCATCTCATCATCTATCTGAAGACTGAGCTCGGGCAAACTGTGTTTTACAACTCTTAGGTTTCAGAGCTTGTTAACGAACGATGGGGGTAATTGACGCTCTGCGGCAACTCTGTGAGCCTGCCTACATGCTTCTTGTTGAAAGAAATGCCCAATTTTGGATGAAAGTGCCACCAGACGGTTCTGGGGGTTGTTTCAGGCTGCGAAAGGAATGCAATGTAATACAATCCCGAGTATGGGATTTAATTGGTCCGACCAAAGGGCAGAATATATCATCTGGACAGCACACAAAGGTCCTTTTGTTCTTTGGCCCGCTTGGCCCGGCCATAACCACGGCAACGTGGGCCGCGAACAATGGCGACACCAGCTAATGCAGAGGTATTGGTTGGCGTGGAATCGCGGGATACTCGGGGACTGATTTGTACACCTGCCTTGGGGAACATGGAGGTGGTCCAGCGTCTGCGGTGCGGCATCTGACTCGCCTCGATGCCATCATCTACTGCTCGTGTCACGGATGCACACGCTGCAGGCGGATGACAGATGGTAGCTGGGAACATGGAGCCCTTGACACTGTTTGTACGACTGTGAATAATGTTCGCTGCAGATAAAGGAAGAAGGAAGCTCGGACATAGCCGAGGATTATGACACGCACGACGGTCTAGTTGTACCAACACTAGGCATCAAAAAGCGAGCAACATTTTCTTTCCCATTTGTTTCACCACCGCGCTTCGTTTCGTGGGAAACATAGCACCACGCCCGCCACGCTCTAAGCTTTGGTAATTCTTTTCTTTTCAGAAATAGCAACGTTTTTAGGTATGTGAAGATATTTGATTCTTTCGGTACTAAATGGCGTGGCGAGAAAACCGTCTGTCAACTGCCACGCCCCGGCTGCTGCTTTGCGGTGACATCAATTCTGTCCCAACTCATGCAGCATCTGCCCTCCACAAGCACCCATTCCTAACCAACAAGTCAGATTTAAGCTCGCTAATTAAGGCTGATGTGAAACTGAAAGAAATAACTGATTGGTCGTGCCGAGTCTGTGGATCAACACAGTTCACTGCTGTCTGGGGCCTCCCATCTTGATGCAAGCCAGAGAGCATCTGGGTCGCCACCGTCACACATCTCTCACCTCCTTTTGGTCTGGACTTGAACTCTTTGTTACACGGCAGCGGGTAATTGCATCTAATAATTCTCGTGCGACTGCTATTTCACGCTCTCCATTGGATAGCAACACCACTCAGAGTTCACGCCAAACCTGATCTATCTGCCAGCATCGGCCAACCATCTAATCTCGACTAATATTCACCACAGTCATTCCAACAAGAAATAAAGAAGAAAAAAACAGGCTGTGTGTCAACAACCTCAGGTGCGAAATCAAATCAAATCCAAAAGACCGATTCTGCGCTGGAAAAGATATTCCATAGCCTGTTAATGGTGCCAACAACGACGCCCCCTTGCCATTGACTCGACTTATAACCTCGTCTCCAGACGCTGCCTGTCATACCTCAAGCTTCTATTCTAGCCTCAGCGTCTCGTCTTGTGGCACTTGGAATTGGAGCCTGCTACATGTATTGTTTAATGAAGCAGGGGTCTTGTCGTTTGATCCCGTCGAGAAAAGGCAGCGCCTAAAAGTCCCGCGTAGGCGGAATCGCACCAACTTTAACACAATCCGCCGAGTTGGCCAACTTGGCTCCCGTTGCCATGTGGGATGTGGCCTGGACAGACCCAAAACGAGAGCTAGTGGGCGAGCATCGCGGGAGAAAGGACAAAGACAGGAGTGTCAAGGACAAGAGCCTATCTCGAAACTCGGTCTCGACAACAAGCTCAAAGACATCTACTCACTCTACGCTTTCTCGTCTTCGGGCCAGAGCGCTTCGATCCTCTTCAAAAGAGTCCCCTAGGCAGAATATATATCCGGACTCTGGGCCTCAGACTCCCGATCGCTCCTTCAACAATCGCTCTCCATCGGTGATGTCAGATGCTGAGCAGAGACAAGTTAGTGGCCGCCCGATCCTCAGCTGCTCTGACTTGCAAGTAGAAGCTACATCACAGAATGGATTTAACTCAGTGGGGCGAAGCAAGTTTGCTGCCGTTAAAAATACCAAAAACAAAGGTGAATAAGGCATGTCTGTGCGCATTTTGACTATTTTTGCTCATGCCGTCGTGAAGGACTAGCTCCAGAAACATCAGCCACGATTGAGTCGTGCGCTAGGCAGTCAAATGACAGTGACGTATTTTCGACAAAAAGAAGGGAGAAAGAGGAACCTAAATCTACAGGATACAGAAATGGAAATTCGAAGCAGCCTAATGGGGCCGGTATCTGGCCGCAGCGCCCGCTTGATCTCCAAAGCCCTATAAGACAGTCGTTTGTAGCCAGTCCCTTGGTGTCGCCCAAGTCGCCATCCAGGTATGAATAGCAAAGTCCAGTTCGACAATAAACAAAGTATGGAGATTCTGACAAAGAGTATACAGAGTCCCTGGGTTAAGCCCAGCACTGCCGCAGGATGAGCCAGTAAAGGTGGTACCGCCCATGAGATCTCAAATACGACTACCACCCAAGCCAGCCCAGGAATTCTCTCCTATCAACGATTTATCCTTGTGGCGCAGCCCGAGAGAATGGAGTGCGGCGACAGAAATGGGAAACACAGTCCAAATGATAGAGACAGTGACCGGACTCAGAGCCAAGGAGCTAGAAACCACCTCCTTCGAGATGTCGCCCGAGTCGTGGGATCTACCGACAGAGGTGAAGCAGATGGCCCAAGCGAAGCCTTCAACCGCACTATCCAAGCTGAAAGCGTCGGCTGAGAACGCTTTAAGCTTGGAGGAGACCCAAAAAATCAATGGGGAGAAGAAAAGATGGATGCTCTCTGTCTTACACCATCTAGATTGTGGCAACAGACACGATTCGAATGATTCAAGCACACTGAGGAACGGACTCGAAATACTAGAACAGGCCAAGTGTCGAAAGATTTTGGCGGCATATGATCCTAGATGTACTGACTGGTCATGTCAAGCGCAACTTCTTCTAGATCAGCTGCTAACATTGACTGTAGTTTCGGCACGCTACTTGGCTGCGTTGTGGCCCGAAAACACAATTCATCACCTATCCGACAACCCACTCTCCTCCGACTCAGCATCCAATATTTGCGCTGTTTATAGTCCGGATGCAGTCTCGCCCTTCCCTGGGCCCCTCCGTAATTTTGACGCTGCTTATTCCATGACACTGCCTTCTCTCTGCCGCGAGTCGGATATCCCGGCCGTTCTGAACAATATCAACAAATGCCTTAGGTCCGGAGGGGTCTATCATTTACTATTGATAGACCCTATACCTAACACTGATGCGCTGGGAAAGAACATGAGAGCTTGGTTTAGGAATAACCTGCTACAAAAACTTAGGCAGCAGTCGCGATGTCTCAGTCCCAGCTACATCTTTCCAAAAGCCCTGGGGGAATCGTCACTGCGGGGGCATGGGAGCACCTTGACAACCACGAAGTTCTACGCGAACCCTCAGAATATCTGTCGTAGGCAGGACGAAACCGATGATGAAGCGAAGCGGGAGAGGGAAGGCAAAGAAACCAGGGCCGAGCTCAGGAGTATTGTTGGTCGTATGCTCTGGAGAGAAGTTTGGGGCGAGTTTGTTACGTCAGACACTTGGTGGTGGGAGGACCCGGATTGCATGCGGGAGTGCCTTGAACTGGGCACTTTCTGGGAATATTACTCAATCCAAGCTGTAAAATCAAATTGAAACCTCGAAGGCGCCGTTGGGTTCTGTGTGTGAATCACCGCGCTTATCTACGGTCTGTTCGCTGTTTCTTGATTGAGCCCGAGCAGAGCCAGCACCACCGAACAAAACTCGTTGAGTCTCCCAATGGTTCTAGACCAAATAACGTATTTAAAATGATAATCAAAATAAAGCAGATCTCAACTGCCGACTAGTAAACTTCTCCGAATAGAATTAATGCACCTTGTGAACTTGGTGGTGGAGTGCCACTTCCGTTGTGGCACAAGTCATGGTCAAGTTCAACATACTGGCCCAGACAACAGAGACAAGACAAGATAAACCTCAGCAATGCGACTTTGAAAGAGGGTCTGCAATTTTTTTTCTTGTGGTGATTGTCTGCGAGAGAGCTGAGACATGACGGTCATGGCAAACCGCTCTGACCTGCCTTCATTTCAGATAAGGACACCAAGGCGGAGGCAGCACATCGTGATTGGCAATCAACATCGTCTGCGTCTATTCTTAAGCCAAGGAACCCTAGATGAAGACAGCCCTCTTGCACACGCGACAAAATGTTCACGTTAATTAGGCGCCGCCACTCTCCAACTACGTACATACTCAATCAGGCAACCGCCGTTGCGGATCGGATCGTCAACGAGATGTCGTGATGTCAAGGCTCAACAAGCTCTACATCCCAACTAGTAGTACTACTGTCTGTATTCATGCAAGACCCGTCCCCAAGTCGTCGGTGGAGAAGTAATTTATCAAGGAACACGTGGGGACAGCTATTCTTCAGCCCGAAATAGCGTACGGGGTCTATGACCAGACACATGGCGTTGAATCAACGCCAGGAACTAGACGAGAAAATGCCAAAATCTGTAGAGACAGACCCAGAAGGTGGGTGCCTTGTTTAAATCCTGACTGTGTTGCCATGCTTGACGCCCCGTCTCTCCGGATTCACCAGCATGTGGCTCCATCTTTCAAGGAACCCATGAATAAGATTGAATGTTCAAATCTCGTGACGCCCCGAACGGCTGGGGCCTCGGCCAGCAATAGGAGGGGTGGGTGGCCTCGGGGCGCCTGACCTGTCATATTTGAATGACAGCGGCATCGTATTCCGTACAGAAATTCAGCCACCAGAATTTGATGTCTCTACAGCTACACATTGTAACAAGGTCCAGGGGCAGGGGTGAGCTGGGGTACAGGAGTCAAGGGCCATGACTCGATTCAGGCGGGAAGAGGCCAAAGCCACGCGTGTGGCCTTGTCTAGGGCGGAGCTGATGATTGCTGTCCTCACTGTCCACAAGAGAACAGCAAAACATCACAGATAGTCAATACTGGCATCTGCATGGTTTGTCCCTGACACGAGCCGCAGACGGCCTGCTTCCACAAGAGCAGAAACATCATCTGTTGTGTCTCAATACAATCTAATTTCGCCATCGTACGCAATGAAGCTCTGATTTTTTTTATTCCGGCTAAATTCGCTGCAGCTTCACACATGTATGATGTCCATACCCAAGATAGGCCATGTACAATACACGACACCAAAATCCAAAACAGCTTATCCAAAGCACACGCGGCTTTCATCAGAGGAGTAGCACGTGTTTCTGTGCTACAAAGGTATCTATCTCCAAGTACAGGAACCAGACTCCTGGATCCAAAAAAACTAAAAAAAAAAAAACTCCGATGAAATGGGACTTGACGATCATAGAGCAAGCTCCCCGCTTTCTGTTTACCAGAAACAGACACTCTCCCCGGGATCATGCCAGAGAACGCATATTAGAATTTTGAGTCGAAGCAGGTCGTAAAAGTGGGAATAAACAGATAATAGTAGCTAATTACATCAACCATCAACCATAATGAAGAAGAATGAAGAATGATATTAAAATAGTGTCGGCGATTTCGTTTCGTATTATGGCGCTGCAACACCTCAGCAGTGACGGCTGCCATCAGCTGAATGAGCCCGAGCCTTGGCCAGCTCTGTCGTGCTGTCAGACGCAAAAGTCCTGGAGCTGCCGGGAGGGGACCTGAGCACGTTCCGGCTACGGGGGGGTGTTGCGGCATCCTTTTTGTCGCGACCGTTTCTCTCGTCAATTAACTCGGACACATGTGATCTTTTCTTCCACCGCAGATCCTCTAGGAGCTCTTGACACGCCGACCAGGACGTCACGGCGTAGATGACGGCGTTCCAGAACCCTTGGAGGGGAAGGACAAAGGCGCTCATGAACTCCAGAGTAACAGAGACATCCTTGTCATTCACAAAAGAATACACTCGGTTCGCGCTCGACGGGATCCACGTGATGAGAATTGCTGTGAAGAAGAGAATAGAGCACTTGGTATATGACCAGGCGGCGTTGTTCAGCTCATGGTTGCGTCGACGACTAATGTTGGCTGGTCGTCGAGGAGCAAGTTGCACCGTAGATGTATGTTGCAGTGTCGTTCCTTGAATGGGCAGGGCATCTTCGTCATAGGCCTGGGCAGTGTTATTCAAGTCCGCTGAGATGTGAACTGTGTACGCTCCGTTGGGACTCTTCGTGCTCGGCACAGAGTTGGAGTTTTGACGATTCATGCTGGCGAGCTGCATTCCCCTCTCTCCCGCTACCTCGCTTGTGACGGTAATCTCCGTGGTCTTGACGGTGGAGATGGGGGCGTCGCCGTTGACTGAAAGAGGGTCAGGGTCGGACGAGTTAAAGCCTCGAAGCTGCTTGTGCTTTTCATAAATGGTACGCCCGGCTCGTATATAGATGAAAAATGTCATCAGAATCACAATCCTGGATGGCTTGTATTAACGAGAGTGAAGTTCAGCATGATTCGGGGCCATGACCACGTACCAGACAGGGCCATAAAAGGCTGCAATTCTAAGGAGATCCCAGTCGTAGGAGATCCAACACCACAGTGAAGCATTTCCGTAAACACGTGCTCCATCGTGGTCTTTGATGAAAAGAAAGACAAAGGCGGGCACGAATGGGATGCCGTAGCAGCCAATTAAATAGGCCATTTCCATGCGTCGAAGGCGTTCGGCATCAAATTTGAAGTAAAACGTGAGATAAACATTAATAGCCATAGCCAAAGTCCAAAAGGCATCTGCAGGCATAAATCTGTAGTTTTTGGGGGGGAACGTTAGTAACTCTTGATATAAATAGGGTCGTGATGCGGCTAGTCAGCAAATCGACAACGTACAGTTGAATCAGAAAGGCTTGAAATTGGCACCCAAAAGAAGTGCCGTTTTCCAAGAAGGTTCGTGACATCAAAGTTCCGATATTAGTTAACATGTTGCCAAAGGAGGCATAAAACACCAGTCGGTTGATTGGCTTGTGAAAGGATCGTGAGTAGCAGAAAGTAACAATGGTGAAGAGACAGCCCAGAAGCGACAAGACTGAACAGGCTCTCTCAATGGCACTAATGGCCCTGAGCTGACTCTCGTTCATACCAATCATTGTCGGAGGCCGCTTGTGGCACGAAGCACTCGGTCGTTGACTGTGTTCTTGGAAACAGGGTCCATATAACACAAGGAGCCAACAGAATGGCAACGGAGTGCTTCCAACCGCCTTGGAAAAGAGGCCCAAGTGACGTCGTAGTTCTAGAGTAGAGAGGGTCGAGGGTCAATTCGCGGGTCCGTCGTTATACTCGAGAGCCGGGAAGGCTGGTTGTTTAATACTTGATGTGAGTCGTTAAAGGACATGAGATGAACCGGCAGTTGAGTGCAAGTGAAATCTGATAGTAATAAGAGTGAGGGGACCTGTAAAATTAGAGCCAGGCAAGATCATGGCCCCAGGTTCGGCATCTACTCTCAATCGTTGGAAGGGGGCAATCTTTTGTCGAATGAAGACCAGGTAAAACCAACCCAATGGGCTGGGATGAGACAAGAAGTGGAGAAATGGACGAAGACTGAGGACTCTATCTAGGATTCGTACAATCTTTTGCATGTCCTGCCCGATCTGCAAGAGATGGATATCTGTTTCGGCTAATCAGGCTTGCCGTTGATGGAGTTCGAGCAGCATCGAGCCACTCGTTTCCCAGACAAAGCCTTCAACCACACGTCTAGGGAAGACGATTGGTAATGACAACAAAAGAATGAAGGAGGGTTGTGTTCTGCCAATCTCGACGCGTGCGGCAGAGGAATGGATGAAACTGACTAGAATTTTCAAGCCGTGGGCAATGAATGGCACAGGTCAATATATGGAGCCAGTCCGGCAACATGAACATTGGCTGTACTCGTTCAACTAAGAGACTGAATGCTTGGACCTTTTCTGCCCGAGAGAGACTGACAGGAGCCTCATCTCGGGGCGCTGGGGGGAGTCTGTGTCGTCCGTGTTCCGTACTCTGTGTACATCTGTTGTATGTTGTGGCGTCGTCCAGTAGCCGCCTCCTGTAGCCAGGCTGACAAGGATATCAAGGGCAACAGGGGTGCATAGCATGGACGCAGGCACAGAGGTAGGTTGGTTTAGCAAGGGTCCATGCAGATGTGGTAAAAGGAACACGACCGTGTTGCATTATAAACCCGGCATATGGGACCGTGGGCGGCGGCAGATGGGTGTACGGCCAGAATGGATGTATGCAGTAGTAGTTTTGTGCTTGCTGAGTTGCACTGAGCGGAAAGCGGCTACAAGTCCGAGGTTGCCCGTGTTTCGTTGAACAACAGAGTCAAGTTTGTCTGAGTTGAGTCGACTTGAGTGTGAGGCATGTGGGGGGATGAAGACTTCCATGTCGGTCGGTGTTGGAGGACCGAACCTGCCAACGGGGGTGGATTCTCTCTAATGACGGCCTCGTTTGTCCGCTGGCCTTCGGGTAATGTAAGTACGGTCTTTTCATCCGGGCTTAGCGTTGCGCGAGCCTGTCAGGACCCTCCAAATAACAGGCAACGCCCTATCGCTCAGACTGTCAACAGGGGAACAGGATTTACATTGTACGTACATATATATTGTCCATGTCCAGGCTTGGAACATGCAAAGCATCAGAGACAAGGTCGACGAATCAGAGCCGTAAGATTAGGGTTTAGCCATGACGGGTGGAGACCTGCAAGTCTGTCCCTGGAGAAGTCTTGGCTGAACCCCCTCAACAAGAGTCAAGAGCGCCACCATCCTGGGGAAAGCTGGTCAACGGCATTCAACTGGTCTTTGCTTCATCTTTTTCTCTTTTGCTTTTGCCGGCCTTGGTTGCCTTCGTTGCCTGTTCTCTGCACTGACATCATTATGGAGCACGCTTCCGTCGTCTAGGCGGCACGCATGTGGATGCGAGTTGGAGCCATGAGAAGCAGACGGCAAACTTTGCGATTGTTTGCTTGCCGGGCCAAAAACGGCAACTTGCAGGTGGAATTCTCCCGGCGACAGCATCCCACCTCGCGTCGTCGTTTGGCACTCAGTTGCTTCTTTGTCTCGATTTCGAGCTATCCCTGCGGCCGGAGCAGTTCGTTTCGGGTCCAGACGGATCCAGAGTTTGTGGTTCCGGTTGAGCAATCCAGTTTCGAGTACAGCACCAGGCCGCAACTGGAAAATGCGAACATCTGGCTATGCTGGCATGGCTGCGAAACCTTCTGGTGCGAAGCATGACAGTCACTGTAGGCTGGTTGGTCAGGTAGACAGGTGCGGACGAATCGACCAGGGATGAGCAGAGCCGGACCAAGCTCGAGACAGTCCGAGTGCCCGAGTTACGATGCTGCCCTGGACGAGAATAGAACAACTGGGAGGCTCGGAGCCGGCGGCGAAGCTCCTGAGCTGTACAATGTACATACTACAGTACAATGTTTGTCCCATCCCGGTCTACTCCTCTTGATGGTGGAGTTTTGAGTTGTAAACTTTGTCAGGATGGTGTCAAGCGTTTGCCTTTTTCTTTTCCCATCACAGCCAGCACGGTTGAGTCGGCCCATCTCTTCTCCATCTCCCCACGTCTTCTGTGGGCATGTCTTACCTCAACTGGCCTCTTGTGGTCGGCGAAGAACAGGGTCTAATACGCTGGAGGAGACAAACGTTGGCAGGCAGGTGGGAAGAAAGGAGAGCGAGCACTCTCGCAACATGATACGTCAAGTACTTTCCAGTTCATTGTCAGGCACAAGTTCGCCGCACAACACCGCCGGTTACCCACAGACGCCCTCTCAGAGAGATTGATTGTCAGTCGTCCAACTGACTGACAGGCCGAGTGTCCGTGCTTGGACATTCCATGTCCGTCCCATCAGCTAGTAGTAGTGGCCGTGCCCCAACCCTGGCCAGATTGCGCCTTCGCGCCATTCACGTTGCCACCAAGTCCCCTGCTTTTGCTGCAAGCATGTCCATTGTCCGTCCTCAAGTCGCGTCCATCAGTCAACCTGCGCGGGTTGGTTGATGGCGCGCGACGCACCGGACCTGTGGTCTCACAAAAATGACGAGTATCCACTTCTCGCAACGGCTTCTGCCCTTCCAAGTGGCGTAACTTGTCTTAGGTCCCGAACCTAGATGACACACAGGAGCCAGGGGAACAAAAAGGAAAACTGGTGAAGAATGCCAGGCACCGTGGCGTCGCCGTTTCATGTGCTTCGTGTGGACAGGTCCACATCCAACCCCAACGGGGAAATCGCTCGATGTCAGCAATAATAGGACATCAATGATACTACTACTACTAGTACCGGAGTACTAGTACTAGCGTTCTTGCATCCAACTCTCCTCCTGGCCTTTTTCTTCCCTTCCTCTGTTCCCCGGCCCGGATCGTATCGATGCCTGCAATAGCGGCCGTCTTTATCGGAGATTGCTCAAGGAAGACGATCGAAGGGCACGAGAGAGCCCACCAAAATTATCGGAACCGCATACCCAGCCAAGGAGCCCCAAATAAACGGGAAATATACCTCACTAGTGCTTGTGCTTGCCGGTACAGCCGTCTTGGCTCTTGGAAATGGTCAGAGTTGAGTCTTTCTGCTGCTGTGTCCGTGGCTCCACGGCTACAGACAATCCACCGTCTTCCGTTCCACAACGGGCACTTTTCCCCGTTTCGTACACACAGTTCTTTGCTCCATGTGCCAGCAAGCTAGTAAGGCTACTAGCCTCTGCCTAGTAATGATGATCATGATGAGGGCTTGCGTGGAACCGCGCCTGTGGCCCGAAGCACAACATGGCCAGAGGTTTGTCCGTTATTGTTATTGGGCTCCGCCCCTTGCCCTTGGTGAACTTGATGCCAAATTTGCCGGCTCAACACCAAGTCCAGAGTCTGGATGAAACTAATGCACCTAACCCTGTGGCTCCCATGTCCGTTCCTGCGGAGCCAGCCCATGAAGATATTCGTTGCGGAATCGTAATGATGGAAAAGAGCCATCAGCTTGACTTTAACGGAATCTGTGTCCCTGGATTACGGTGTGCACCGCAAGTACGTACAATAACCGCATAGCTATGTTAGGCTCAGAGCCGACGTGTTTCTCAAGTAAGGATCCATGCCGTCATGGACTCATGGCTGAGCCATCAATGTATGTATTTCCAGTCTTGAGCTGTCATTAAGACCTTCCCAAGTGGGTATAAACCTTACCGCGTGGCTGCATTTGAATCGCAGCAGCTATTGGTATTGCAACGATTCTCAGTTCCGCGGAAGGCTATCCCCCATACCGAGTGGCACGCACTGGTCTCCATCAGAGGTACGTACTTAAGTATGCGCGGTTAGCATTATTTGGAAAGCAACAGTGACTTGGTGTGCAGCCTTGTTGCCATGTTCATCCAGATTCATACATGTAAGCGTCGGGTTCGGCACTTGTCTGGAGTCTGTACATGTAGGCAATAACAGGTAAATTTGTTGTGTCTCAATCCAAAAACCTAGAGTTGTTTCACATGAATTATTGAGTGCCATATGAATCTCTTCTCACCCAGTCCATACGAGACAAGAGCTCAAAAAAAGACGCTGTCGGGTAGTGATTAGCTGGCAGTGGCAGCCTTGAACCAACAAAAATGCTACATCAAGTACTGTTATCGTGTCTCAGGTGCTCCTGGGATGTTTTTTAATGCCGCAGCTGTTCTAATTGTACTGAATCTTGAACGTCCAGATGTATCTATCCCCAGAAAGAACATCATTTCCCAAAGTGAGCTTTAGAGAGCCGACCCCGTTCCACAACGCGGGGACAGTCTTGCCGTTCAGTCTTCCGCCTACGACAGTAACTTTATCGCCCGGCAAATATGGGACCGGGTCAGTGATGTCCAGGGTTTTAGATGGCTTTCCAATGTGATGAATGTAGAAAGCGTCCTTCGTGGTCGTATAACGAAATGGATCAGACCCCGGCTTGACAGTCCAGAATCGTGTCCTGAAGATACTCTCTCCATGGGACTTGATCCATCTGCCGGCATCTCGCAGGTTGTTCTGCATGATTTGTGGAATGGATCCATTCCCTGTAGGTCCAATGTCAAGGAGAAAATTGCCGTTCTTACTCACCATATCAACCAGGGTGTGCACAATCTGTTCACCCGTGAGATAGGCGGAGTCTGGCGTTTGGGCATTGTAGCCGTATGAATGTGGATCCATGCCTCTACTGGCTTCCCATTTTCGTGTGACTGTCTCTCCGTTGGTCGCATATCTACAGAGAACAGAGGTTAGCAATACAGCCCATACAATGGCCCGTACAGGTGCAAAATCCAAAACTATCATTATTACATATACGTACTCCGGAGTGTCGAAGTCTCCAGGTATTCCGCAGCGGCTGTTAAAGGTCACCTGCCGTTTATTCTTGCGTGCCGAATTCAGCCATTCAGATGCAAATATTGTCGCATTATTCCCTTTACTCGTGATGTCACACCACATGATATCGATACCATATTCGTCGGCCAACGTCCTCATCTGGGGGAGCTGAATGTCCTTGACGAAGTCTTTGACCTCTACGTAACCGGTGTAGGGGATTTCTGCTTTTGTGTAAGGATTCGTTGGTGGGCCACCTGGCCAAGCACTGAATCCATACTTCTTATATGCTGGGTTGAACCATTCGGGCATACTAAAATATGTGCCTTGAATCCAGTTAGTAAAGGAGTAATTCCACGCAATGATGGTACTTATTCTCTATACCTAGTCGGAGATGAGGCTGATACTTCTTGGCGGCGGCAAAAAGGTCCTTGATAATATCTCTTTTTGGGCCATAGTGGATGGATGATCGCTTGCTAATTGCAGTTGAGAAGTTGAACAAGGCAAACCCATCATGGTGCTCTATGAGGTCAGGTTAGATATAATAGGCTTTCAACGGCTAGGAGCCGTTCCAATACTAGGCATACATACTCGTTGTCGGCACAAAATACTGAGCACCCGCATCGGAAAACAAATCTACCCATTCTTGAGGATCAAAGCCTCTGTCAGTGAAGTTGGCAAAAAAGTCGTCATAGTTGACATCCTTGCCATATGTCTTCAGGTGATACTGGTAAGTTTGGGTCTTGTCATTGGGATACTGCATTGATGACCAGTACCTATAGAAACGTCAGTTGAAACCCCTTACTTATGAGTCTAAAGTACTTACCATTCTGCATAGTTTTCATTTTTACCCACGTTTCCATAGGCAGGCACAGAATAAGGCCCCCAATGTATAAAAATTCCATACTTCAGGTCATTGAACCAATCTGGAGCGAGATGAGGGTTGACACTGGACCTCGTTGCAGTATAGTCTATGAAGCCGCATGTTCCAGAGACGGGCTGCGTAGCTTGCTTGCCTCCCCTCTTGTTACCGTAATTGGCGACAATAATTCCAGTACATTGGGAGCCCGCCTTTGCTTTTGGCTTATTCTTGATGCCAATTTGAACGATAGCAGCTTGTCTGGGGCCGAGGCGCTTGAGCGTTCCACGCACGACAGTGTCTACTGAGTCTGACAGGACTTCCACAACCAAGTTGTCTGCCTCTGTCAAATAGTTTGTTGGGTCTGTGTTATTGATATAAACCTCTACAATCTGCACGAGGTCACTCCCATCGATCCATTTGGAGGTGATGTTCGGCTTGTTTATCTGCAGCCCAGTTGGAAATTCATGCGCATCTAAATTGACTTGGCGGGTCAGTGCTGTTTTCCGGGAATATGGACACTTTAAGCATCGATCTCACAACAATTGTATCGACGTACCAGCCCGGGCAGGGATGCTATTCTGCGAGACAGAGTTTACCAAGGCAGTCACACCTGGGAGACAGGTCAACAATTTGGCGAAGAGAGCGTTACGAGTCATGCTGGGATGATTGGTGTTCAGTCCATCGAGGTTATTGCTGATTTGAAGAGGGCTGTACAAGAGTTGGATTGTAAGAAAAGAAAAATTATGTTGCAACGGACAAATTTATATTATTTACGGAAACCGCGAACTACTTTGTCGATATCTTCCGTCGGGTATTTGGTGGGCAGAGACTTGCAAGCCAACTTTCAGTTCCTTTCCCTTAAGCAGCCGCCTCGTAAGCTGCAGATATCCTAAGGAATACTTCATTCGGATCTAGATTTGGCCATGAACACGGTGCTGAATTAAGTCGCCCAATCAATCACCTGGTAGAGAGACGAAGCTAGGGGGGGTCGAATGCTGATCTATGGTCCCAGAAGCCATCTCCAGAATACGACGTCACGACTCACGATATGATGCGGGGTGATCGGCGACTAACTAGGTGGTCGGGATTGTCTACTTTAGCCGACGGCGTCGAAAAGACATGTCCTTGGCAAAATGGTGATACCTCAGCTCCTTCTTTTTTCATGAAGACGGGATGAATAAATTATCGGGTCCTGTAACAACCCATATTATCATGGGACTTGTTCCGATCTCCTAACCTACACTTGATCACGTCGGTCAATACTCCAAATTCTCGCCACGGGAGAATATGTAGAGCCTGAGCTCATTATTCTGGTTTCAAACCACTCTGATGGGATGCAAAGACATATTCATGTGTCAGCATTCATCAATGAAAGGAGTCGTAATGTCACACTCCGACCATCGTCCATTCGCGAATAAACTTGCAGTCCACGAATGTGTTGATCAGGGCATCCATTTATGCGAAGTCCTTGATGTTGCTGTGCCATGCGTTTCCCCGCCATCCAAATAAACAGTTGCGATATCCAAGTTTATCCTGCGGGTATTTTCAGCGTAGAGCAAGCTACGGTGTTGTTACATGGGCAAGGTCCCATGATTGGCATGGACATGCCCGAACACACGCCACGAACATTGGTCGCAACAGGCTCGGACACAATCAGCGGGATGCAACCCTTCAGGTAGATGATCCAAAGATACGTATGTATGTATTGCCAATGCGTTTACGGGTAATTGTAGCTTCACCCAGATTGCCCAACGGCGGAATGAAAGAAGAAAAGTTCGAGGCTTCGAGCATGGGCAATAAATAGCTAGCGAACATCTTGATGAGGACAAAGATCGAAACGAACAGCCTGATGCTTGTCTCTCAAAAGAAATATGGAGGACAGTCCACTTGGTCGTCATGTGAATTATTGACGGATGTGCAGAGCAATAGATCTATCCTACAAATGCCAAGTAAACTGCGATTCACCAGACCTGACGTGAAAGTGAAGTTGCGCCTGAAACATTGATCGCCACAGGGTTTCTAGAATCGGGAGTGGGGGCCCGGCTACCGAGGTCGGTTAGTGCATCGTACCTTCCACAATGAACGAACATTGAGGGCTCGGGATAGCTTCACTCCTTGCACTACGATTCTTACACCTCTTACAAAGCTGAAGGACCTAGCGGCGAAACACGCTGTCCAACATTCAACATCCATCAGGCCATCCTCCATCAAACACCGTGGCGGCTAGCCCGGGTTATGTTCCATGAACGCGTCCAAAAGGCCATGAAGACGCGCTTCAGTTCGTATTGGAGCCATGCCGTCATCGCCCGTGGCTGGCATTTCGTCGCCGCCAGATGCAAGGCCGGCGGCGCGTTCAAAGTTCACATATCGTCAGCTCGGCCAGCTGGCATCATTCAACACGTCAAATCCACTTCGCGTCATTGCTCACATTGACCTAGATGCATTTTATGCACAATGTGAAATGCTGAGGCTGGGGGTTCCCGAGGACAAACCTCTCGCGGTCCAACAATGGTGAGTGAGGTAGCTACCTAGATAGTCTTACTGCATGCTGAGCCACCTCTGCTTTCCCGAAGTCATGCGCTGACGCCATATTTAGGCAAGGACTCATCGCAGTGAACTATCCAGCGCGAGCTTGGGGTATCGGTCGACATTGCAATGTGGCCGAGGCCAAGAAACTCTGCCCAGACCTCATTGCCCAACATGTTGCTACATGGCGAGAAGGTGATGACAAGTGGGCATACCGGGACGATGCTGCCGCCAGCATCGCGACAGACAAGGTGTCGCTTGATCCATACAGATTGGAGTCTAGGAAGATTCTCGCCCTCATCCGAGACACGCTGCCTCCCAACCTGCAAAAGGTGGAGAAGGCTGGCATCGACGAAGTCTTTCTCGACCTGTCAGCTCACGTTCACACCATACTTTTGGAGCGGTTTCCTGAGTTGTCGAATCCACCCCCGTATGATGACCTCGCCGAGAGGCTTCCCTTGCCTTCCATAGCGGCCCTGGACTGGAAAGCTGATGCTTTGGTGGACTTGGATGAGGACCAGGAGAGTCAAGATCCGGACTGGGACGATGTTGCAATTCTCATTGGATCCGAGATTGTACGCAATGTACGTGCACAAGTACGGGGGAGGTTAGGGTATACATGCTCCGCTGGCATTGCGAACAACAAAATGGTCAGCAAATTGGGCTCCGGCTTCAAGAAGCCCAACAGCCAAACGGTTGTGCGGAGTCGTGCAGTGCATTTGTTTCTAGCGGACTTCAAGGTGACCAAGATTCGCAATTTGGGCGGCAAACTCGGAGAACGAGTTGTGTCAATATACAACACGCAAAGTATCAAGGACCTTCTTGAAGTTTCATTGGAGCATATGAAATCGAAGCTTGGTGACGAAACCGGCTCATGGCTTCACGATACACTTCGAGGCATTGACAACAGCGAGGTCAGCTCTCGAACCCAAATCAAATCGATGCTCTCTGCCAAATCCTTCCGACCTAGTATCAGCACGGAGGAACAGGCGCTAAAATGGTTAAGAATTTTTGTCGGAGACATATTCTCTCGATTAGTGGAGGAAGGCGTGTTGGATAACAGACGACGACCTCGCTCCATCAACCTGCATCACCGCCATGCAGGCCAAACTCGCAGTAAGCAAGGCCCAATCCCCCCCGGTAAAGTTATCGACGAAGAATCTTTATTTCACCTGGCCAAGGATCTCCTCACTCAAATCTTAGCAGAGGACAAGGTCTGGCCATGTGCGAATCTCAGCCTTAGCGTTGGTGGATTTGAAGATGGCGTGAAGGGCAATATGGGGATTGGTGCTTTCCTAGTCAGAGGCGAGGAGGCAGCTCCAGCGAGGTGCAAATCTCCCGAGAAGAGATCAGTCGAGACCGACGCCCCCTCACATAAGAAACCACGGATAACCAACGACATACAACGGTTCTTCTCCAGGGATGGCATAAGCAACGCGGAGGCCCTGAGTATCACAAGCGGTGAAGCTGCTCCCATGTATATGCGTGACAATGTGCAGGTTTCTGCGCTAGTTCAGGGAAGGGAAACTGCCTACTCGACGGAAAGCGAATTTTCTGAGGGTCAGGCTCGAATTACTAGCTTTCTCTGCGCTCGATGCGATTTTGTTTCTGCTGATGCGGCACAGCTTCAGAGCCATGAACATTGGCATATGGCAAAGGACATTCAAGAGCAGGAACGTGCTAAAGGCACACCCGTTTATAAGCCATCCGTTTCCCGCAATTCGGCCCCCAAAGGATCAGGTGCAGCATCTAAGCGTAGCCGCGGAAATAAGCTGGAACAAGGACAGCAGAAGCTCAGTTTCGGATGATCCCATGGAGCAAGATTGCGGCATAATCAAGCTGAACTCGTATCTACAAGCTCGGAATGCGGGGGAACCGATTTGTACGTACACTTCCGAATTTCGTCGACCCTGAAAAAGAAAAACGAGTTCTGGAATTGAAGGCTCAAGGTGCACAGAGGCAGGACATGCCTCACCATTTCGTCAACTTACCAACGGCACGAAGCCCGAAAAGCATTACGGAGTACTGCCAGTCGTATACGCCAAGATTCTGTGTCGCAAAGATGCAAGAGTCGCCCACTTTGTCTGTACAACAGCGAGGCAAGCCTTGGACTTGAAAGCTAGCCGTAAGCAATTACTCCAACGCTGAGTGTGACGTCTACACCGGGAGATGTCATGGTCTAGTCCTTCGAAGAGGTCCTTGATCGCGACAATGGTGATACGGTGGCTGATGACTTGACATAAACAATGGGCAGTTTTTGTGAGAGCACACTTAACACTTGAGAATTTCTGCACTTTGCCAGGACTTGTCACGAAAAGGAAAGTTTCCCTCCTCCCTGATTTGTTGATGAGGTCACATTAGGCAATTAGTCATTGGACGGACAGAAATTTGTCTTGGTGGAGCCCGAGCGTTCACGATACGTGATGTCAACTAGTTATCACAAGCCTTGAAAGCGTGTTAGGCTCCAATTGGCGAGAGGCGTCGATACCCAACTGCGGCCCGAGACTAGTCAAAACCTTGTGGGACAGGCGGTTGGGAAAGTCGTCGCCACCTTTTGAGGTCTGAGGCAGATCGGGGTATCGGCCTTCAGAAGTCTGGCCTCGGGACTCTCACAACAGTCCGCCGGCAGCATGACTGACACGTCTTCTTGCTTCTGTGGACTGCACCATGCGCTATTTTGCATTGAATTCGTGTTTTACCTTCTTGCTCGCCCGCTCGCCCTCCACAGGGTGGACCCTACTGTGTTGAAACGGGTGCATTTGTGCTTTCCGAAGAAGATGAGTGAGGCGAGTGTACCGGGATGCTTGGATCAAATCTATCGACAGTCTCTCGAGGTGATTGTCTTGCATGTATGACAATGGATTTAGTATAAATTTCACCACAGCGTCTCGACCTGGACGACTATTGCAATGAACATTTGCTGTCAGGTTGACCTTGAGAGCATCACCCGGGTGACCAAGACGTGTGCAACCTTACTCTATTTCCTTGATGTACTATGATGGTACCGCGCCGCACATGGTGACACAACTTCTCTGAGACAAAGAGTCGGAAACGCCAGCCGATCTGGGTATTGTACGCCACCAAGTGCTTACACCACAGTGTGTGTGTGTGCCAGGAGACCAAAGTACGAACACTTGCGGTCATACTACGGAGTATTCCTCCTTGGATACTGGCGATAACTTCAGCTGTCCATCAGTTCTCCAAGTACTCACCACCTCTGGCACTCTGGCAGATTATTGTCCTCGTGACTCGCGAGTAGACTTTGAACGCCATACTTGCAACCGCTGGCCTCTGAATTTTCTAGAGGGGAAGCAGCCAGAAGTTGAGAATATTCCGCACTTGTTTCATATGAGGCTACAAATCCCATGTGGCCTTCTAATGTTATACACGTCGTCTCGAAAACAATACAGCACTCTGGCAACAAGTCTTGCCGATTGCTTGCCGATACGCGCAAAGGCTCCAAACGCTAACCGACGTTTCGTTCCTTAGCCGAGCATACTGCTGTATACTTGCGACGGAAGCAAGGGGAACCTCCAGCTACTTGGGCAACTCCTTCACTCAGAAGAAGGGGCCAGGACGTTTGCTGGTAGTCTTGCTAGCACGACGAGACTGCCGCCAAGTGAAGCGGTGGCGCTTTCTGAAAGGATCGTCTCGAGCGTTCGCCCACATTGCCTCTGACTGCAAGAGAGCCAAACGCGTTGTCGCTTCTGAGAAGTAAATATTGCCTCTATACTGTTAGATGAGCGGAAAGCCGGCAGAGAGGCATCACAGACATTTACAAGCGAGTTTCGAGCTTACCCCGAGGCGGTCTCGGTCTGGTTAGTCCCATACCACCAACCCTCGCTGGAAAACCTCTTATCCGCTTGGCATCTAACCTCTCTCGGGTTTGAAGTGGCGAACCAACCAACCAGTGGTGAGACCAGTAAGAAAAACCGCCAAAAACTAGGGCCACATTTCCCGCCCACATTGTTGCAGGTCGCAGGGTCTTAGGCTGGAGCAGTGCAGCCCAACTCTGGGAATATTGAACCCAGACAGCCAGCCCAACCCACAACAGCCAGCCGCAGCCAGCAAGCCACTGCACCATCACGGCAGTCACACAGCAACGACCCTGGACCTTGGTCTGCTCGGGGCCATTGAAGCTCAACTGGGCGACAAGACTCTGTCGGGAGTGGATCATTGGTGCTGCCGTGCCTGCGCCTGCATCTCTGCAGTCTGTGTCCGTTGCGTTGTATAGAGTAGTATTCCTATCTACAGCGAGGAAGCTGGATTGGGACTCACCAGCAGCAGAGTAGACAATCACGGACTGTCCTCGCCACCCCGCCGCACCGGAGGACCATTGAAAGGTGCAGGACCTGGCACTAGTGGACAAATCCTGTCTACGCATATGAGCGCCAGTTATTTGGAGGATTTCATGTATCGTACTTGTTTACCTGCTGTAGGTACTTCAGTACCTCAACACGGAGTAACCTGGCCAAGGTGTGTTCGCTCTGCCTGGTACAGAGTGCTTGTCCATTCGTTTTAAGGGCAAAGAGGGTCGCTGTCGCCGTGTCGGTGTCTGGCAGCCCAAGAGCCCAACATTGACAGGGCCACCCGGGCGGTTTCTGCTGTCTCTCCCTCTCCCTCTCCCTCTCCCTGTCCCCTTCCCTCTGTACCTATTTTTGCCTCCACGCTGTCTCTTGGGCAGGAGTTTGGCCGTGAACCGGTGGCTTTTGTGGGCTTTGTGTCGGTCACGGCGATCGGTAGTCGTGCGGTGCGTGGTTGCAGCTTGGCAAAAGAGTCAAGTTTGCACGAGAGACCTGACCAGTTGAGTCGACATCTGGACCCCTGTCCTGTCTCGGGCAGTAAACGGCTGACTGACTGGCATCGTTGATCTGGCCTGGCATCTGCTCCCGTCTGGTGCTGCGTCGAGGTGCTGTGTCAAGCTTGTTGCGTCTCCTGCCTCCAAGGTCACTGCCCGCCGCCCACTGCCCACCCACCAACTTGCAAGGAGTGCCACCAGTTGGACCCTGTTGACCAGTCGTACCAGTCGACCTGATTTGCTCCCCTGCCTCCAGGCCCAGATTCATTGAGCCCCTCAGACGCTGCCTGCTGACCCTGCTGACCCGTCGAGTGCAGGTCATACCTCATACCTTGCAGGTTTCTTTTCTTCCCTCCACTGCCTCACTTTTGACAGCCTTCTCTCCTCTCCCTATCTACCTTTCACATTCTCCCTCGCGGGCTCTCTTCCGTCTCTTCTTTCTTGTCATTTCGGCCACCTCTGACCGCCCCGTGCTGCCCCTTCGGCCACCTCACGTCGCCCCTCCCCTTCTCTCTCTCACACTCGCGACGATAACCTCGCGCCGACCCTTCACGATGTCCAGACAACCCCGCCCCCAGGGAGCGTCTACGCAGCCGGCGGCGACTCGGCAGAACGAATACTTCGTGCCGCGCGATGGAATCGATCGTGAGGTCATCTCGGCCGACATCTGCCGCTACCTGGGCAATGATGCCTTGGTGCGGCCTGGTCATTACGAGGTATGGCTTCTATCCTGTCTGATCTCGGATGCTTTGCCCAAGACGTGCCGTACATGGGGAGAGACACAAGTCACTAATGATTTCTCATGTAGAACTCTCAAACCGGCCAGGTCGCTCAAGGATACTACATTACCGCCTACAGAAACCTAACAACTGTGAGCATACCTTCTCTTTCTTCAATTCTTCCCACGTCCCGTGGAATAGAGTCTTGTCCTCCATACACAGCGAAAATATTTGCGCTAGACTCACATTCCTCTAGGCTATGATCGAAGACTTGAAGGCCGATTCGGCGCGCTGGGATAGTGAAAGGCGTGCGCAAACTTCGCGCAATACCCCTGGAGGTATCCATGCCTCGAGAGATGCCACTGGCGTTCCTGCGAGACCCTCATCTAACTCACCAGCAGTCCAATACCGCTACTCCGAGACTCACCAGTCTCGGCAACATCATGGGCCTACCGAGCCCCCTTCCTTCCAGCCGGAGCCGTATCCCCGGGAAACCTATGATGCACCGAGATACCCCGGAACTGGCGCTCCTGGATATACCGGTGCCTCTAACACATACCAGCAACAGCCTCCACAACAGCCCTTTGGCGCCTCAAACGGCAATGGCTTTAATACCGGTTTCCCGCAGCCCCAACAGTCGCCGCCTCCGGACCCAAGGTACACTACTGCCCAGCCCGGATCAATGATGCGTCCAGGCTATCAACCGAACCAGGATCCTCCATACATTGGCACTGGCGCCAATTTGCCCCAAGCCGGTTATCCCGTCTCCAGTGATCCTTATTCAAGCCGGATGGGAACCTCTGCTGCCGCCCCTCAGCAGCCAGTTTATTCCACAGTACCGCCGCCTCAACCTGGATACCCAGCTCCCCAATATCAGTATCAGGGCCAGGCTCCTCCTTCTGCCGCCGGTGGCCACTCGTACCCGGCTATGCAACCCCATGACCCGTTCTATGGTCGAGGTGCGTCAAAGCAGAGATCATGCGAGCCCAGCTCGCCAAAAAGGCCCCGCGTCTAATTGTTTAGCTTCACCAGCAGGCCAAGTTCCTCCCCAGCAACCGCAACAACAGCCGGGGTTTGCAGTCCAAGGACAACAGTATGATGAACCCCCTCAATCCCGCTCTTCTGTGCCTGTTGCAAGAAATCAAACACCTCCCAGTGGCTCAAGTAGTCGTCGTAGTGACAGGGATACCGATAGGCAACAACCCCGACCCCCACGACGATAAATTTAGAAAAAGGACGCCCGTCCTCCTTTCACATTTGACTTTTGTTTTTGCACGACCAATTAGCCATGGTACGACTTTTTGCGGCCTACCTTGTGATTATGCGTTGCTTGTGTTTTATAAATGGCTGGACTCTGGACTCTGGACTCTGGACTCGGGGCTCGAACTCTACCTTCTTGGATCGGCGCCCTGCGCTCTTTTTCTTTTTGTTTGTTGTTAAACTTGCTCCACGGATAGCCCCCATTTGGATATACTCTTTGTACACGATGCCTCTGAGAGTAGCAAGTTTGCCTCTCATCGGACCAAAGCACCTGGACAATGTCATCCGATGCTCTTTGCCAGTCATTTCTCCTGGATACAGAAAAGACAGAAAAGACTTGTTCACACCCTGGGATACACCATCTGGCACTTGGCTCTTTGCATCCGTTGTCATTTAGCCCTCGAAACGCATGTCTTTCGAGCTTTGGATTCATTTATACGTTTTGACTATGAATGGGCGGGATTACTGCATTTCCAGTCTTTCTCTTTTAGTTTGGCTCACAGGAAAGCCCGGGATGAATTATGCTGATTGATGTTATGCACAAATACTTATGGCGCAGGTTAGGTTGACTGGCCACTCATGGTCGTCGATGGTGGTTTTTATTTTTATTTTCTTATTTTTATGTCATGTCCTTACCTCGCTGCCCGGATCCGGTCCTTCTAGTGGAGTTACCCTAATAACTGGATTTTGACTACTTGGTCGCCTTGGCTTGACCTGCTGGAGTGGTCCTGGATGCTCACCGCGCTCTCCATGTGCCAAAGCTGAGGGGATTTCCGGGCAGCATGGTAAGTTTCAAAATGAGTTTGTATATACTAGCCAGATGTGTTCAAGAGGACCCTCTCCCGTTAATTTTTCACGTTTCATCCCGGAGTCCTTCACGTGGAGTTATCTAATGAGCCCATAACATTGAGATGAACTAACCGCGTTGTTACTCTAATAGCAGCTAGATATGAATGATGTTTCTAGTCCGTCACGGTCAGAAGAATTTTCTGTTACCTGGTTTCTCCTCTGCCTTGGACTTGGGACTTTTACTTGTGCCTGGACCTTTTTTTCTTCTCTTCGATATGGGGGCATAAAACCAGCACGGCATGGACTCAAATACAAATTTTAGGCCATTGCAAACCAGACTCTTGGAAAACAACAGGATCCTTTGCCCACCGCGCAAATCCGCGAATTTTCCGAGGATCAGGCGCTCTTGTCCCATGGCGAGAAATTTCTCTTCTACCTCGCGATCCCTCGGAAATGTATTAGGCAAAATCATCTATTGGCAGTGCTGTTCCTGATATGGAAGCTACCTTTGCCCAGGTGCTCTAACCAATAAGTTTGGCATCCTGCTATTATGTAAGTTCGACCTGTGCCTAGGGATAATGGCTATCTGTTCCGGAGACGTCTTGCTTTTGTGCGTTCTATTCTGCGAGCGCTATGCTGGTCCAGCCTTATCCAACCTCATGCGTTTTTCCTGTGACGAAAACAACTTGCCTTGCTTCGGTGCCCGTGCCCTGGTCCCAGATTATGTACAGGCATCGGCTCAAATTTCATGTCCACTAGATCAAAACGATTATATGCACCTAGGCCGCAATCCTGGACTGGACCTTGCAGGCGACTCCGAGGACAATGCTCAATTTGGCCCGCGATTTGGATTTTATTCTGGAGGTTATCAACGGGATGTTTCATCCGACAATACGAGGGCAGTACAATGTCCCTAATATATTTTGTGTGGTGAAGTGAGGAAAAAGACGAGCATGATGTGTACGGGATCTGCAGTTATGGAGATACGGGAGAACAACTTTTAAATTTCAGGCGAGGAATAAATTGAGTACGAGACAACTCGCTTTGCGCCAACCATGACACGTGCAGGTCGGCTACCGCGAGCAAATGCCTGTGGAGGCATTCCATCCTTGGCCACCATAAAGTAGCCAAAGCCTGATTCTACAAACCAATTTAACCTAAACAAATGATAATAATCTGTTTCCGACATGCGATATTGGCCAGCTGGGCCTATTTCTATAACACGACCAAACTCAACCGGTTTCGGATCAAAGTCGAACGCTGTATACTCGAGACGATTGCCCCATTTGAGACGTCCCTGGCGGAAATGCCAGAGGATAGAAAGAAGAGGAAGAGGATAAAGAAGGATTGACGCCACTTGGACCTCGAGCTTATCAATTAATGGTTGACAGAGACTACGTTGATGCATGTCATTTAGCTTGAGCCTATTTCTGTCCCAGAAAGATTATGGAACCGGCGCCACTCGTACCTGAAACAACTTGGATTAATATACCGGCACGGGTTTAGGGAGCATATGGTGTTGAATTACTGAGGATCAAGCTGCTTGTCCTACGAGTACATTTCCGGACTAGCAAGTAGGGGTCTTGAGTTTGCCTGGAGCAAGGAAAGCAAATTTGGCGCGGATATTGCGTGTTTGGCAGAAACGGTGGACTGGATGCGATGGACCCAATCGCTTGAACTGCCACAGCTTCCACTGCTTTGACAACATTGCGCGGGCCTACTTGATCTGTGTCGCCTTTCCGGGTAACGCGCTTGTTCCCGTGGATTTTTTGGGCTTCAAGGTAGGACTACATGACGAGTGGCGAGGCACCACGTCCAGTTGCGACGCACAGTACTCTGCAGTCGGTGCAAGATTGCGTAGTTGAGATGTGGAATCAACGATTTGAAAGGTGGAAGCGATGGAAGAAACCTTGCTGACCGGACGTCAAATACTTACTTAAGTACTCAGGCACCTGCCTGCCTAGATGCCTAGCAGGCAGTAAGTCAACGCAAAAACACCAGGCCCTTACAATCTCGGGAAGATTGAAAATGTTTCCTTAAAATGTACTCCCAGCGTCATGCATGATTATGGGCTACCGATGCACGTGCTCAAGTGCCTGGTAGGTACTTGGTATGTAGCTCGTTCCAGACTTGCTACGTCATACTTGGATATATTGCCGTCAATAATATAAAGTACCTACCTAGACTTAGGTGTGAAGGTGTCCGGCTGCTGCGCACCTGAGATTGGCGACTGGTAAATTGACGCCGCGGGAGGGACGTACTTTGCGCAAATCCATCTACTTCGTATGAAGCTGATGAAAGCTGACTCGACTTTTTTGGGCAGGTTCCGTAGCGAGGCTTCTTTGTTAGTGACCAACCGCTACGTCCTGGTTTCTAAGCCCTTTGATACCGCCTGACTCTTTTGAAGTTCACGGACGATGGCGGTACGGTCCACAGCTGCTGCTCCGTATTGTACGGAGTAATAGTTGTATGGACAGGTATTTGGGCATGCATTTGTCTTTTGCCGCAACGGAGCGGACGCCTCTCTGGTTGGGCAAGTCGGGATGGGAGGGCCCAAGGCCCCGGCGAGCGGCGAGAAAGACTCGTGGCTGTGGCCGTCAAGATCAGAAACAATTCGACAGTAGTAGGCGCGTGTTTATTCTTTCGCGGAGGGAAATTTCACCGGGACCAAGAAAGTTATCAGTTGTAGTTACGTAGCAGAGGGTAACGAGGCAAGCCAAGGTCGGTTGATGATGTGTGCAAGCAGATTGGCTGCTGCGGCTGTTGCTAGTGGATGGAAATGTTGAGATTTGGCACCGCTTTTTTTTTTGGACGCAACGGAATAATTAGCAAAGCTTGGAACCCTTGCTTGGCTTGAGCCTCAGATAGGCTAAGCTACTGTTGACGTCTTGTTACTTCTGCAGCCGACGAAGCCTGAAAGATGCCCGGATGTCAGGTGGGCAGGTCGGTGTGGTGGCAAAGCAAACTGTCCCTCCGAACCCCAGTCCTGGTGGAACTGCTTTGCAAACTTGACCGGTTTTCGCCAGAGTGAACCTTGAAAGTTGTTCTTGTGCGACGTGGGAGTTGGGCGCGGACTGGGCGAGGCTGGGTTAGGCTGGGTTACATCTTGGCCGTGCACGCACGCTTTGCTTATGCCTAACTGAATTTCGTGAATAAGGTTTTCGCGAGGACGGCTGTACGGAGCACGGGGTGCTCGCTGCTCGCAATTGAAATGTCACTGGACGTCTGGGGGGGTATGAGAGATGGGATATTATGTGAGAGTGTGGTGGTGAGTGCAGATGTCAACGTGTGATATGTGAACCTTTGGTGGAGCAGATTCTCCATTCTCCAGCGGCCCAGGGCACGCACCAGGTGGCTGTCCGGTTCAATTTTACTGCGGGCATCTTTATTCATGTGCGTGATGTACTTGTACTTGCTCAAGTATAATGGATCTGTCGCGTTGCAGCAGGCTAGTAGGTATCTCTACGTACCTACTTGTAAGTACTGCTTGGCCAGGACTGAGTGGCAGCACATCGTTTCGGCGCCGGCCGGGCTGCATTATGTAATTTTTTTCGTTTATCGACTTGCTCGTTTCTTGCGCCGGCGTGACAAGGTGAAGAAGATGATCCATGTTAGCATTGAAACAAGGCGTCTTCATAACGTGCTGGACATGGATGAGACGACATCTGGAGGGAAAACCCCGGTGTTGGGCTTCCGGTGGCCCCAGTTTTTCATGTGTGCGAGAAGAGTCGATTGAATGTTGAAAGCCAGAGCCACACGCACCACCAGAGCCACCGCTCAAGCTGGCTGCTGGGCTGCTGGGTATGTAATGCTGGGCGCGCACCTAGACGCGGCCAACAAACCTTGAACTGCTGGAACGAGGGAGCATTGAAGGTCGCTGGTCGCTAACTGCTTAAGTACCAGTCCCCAGTGCCGGCGAGGCAGCTCTTTAATGCAGCTTGTCGGTGGAAATGGGCCAACCGGAGC